TGGGGGGGGTGACATTCCAAGAACAAATAGGCTACGTTTAGTGTGCTTGGGGTCGTTTTTCCCTTCCTCCATCCGTCTCATTAGGACATTGTTTTTCTGTGTGGTCGTAGCGCGCTTACGACAATTATACTGACGACTCACCAACGCGAACAACGGCTATAGCCCACCTTTGAAAAGTCATAAGATAGACTGCTTTCACTTCGAGGGCAGTAATGCTTCTAGCTCTCTAAATATATGAGTGCCCCTATAAATCGGCGGAACAAACTAGCAAGGCCCCTGGGGTGTCTTTCTGTGCGTGAGCGTGAAATGCACGTGCGATTTTGCCTCGTCAAGGGGGATCACTCCGCTAATCAGGGCCGATAAGCGGTTCTTTAGTGTGGTCAAGGGAGACAATAACGAGAAAAGGGAAGGTACTCCCCGCGCTCTGAAGTTGGGGCCCTCTCACTCTCACGTCAGTCAGGTAATGACGCAAATGAAAGCCCGCAAGTGGCGGAAGTTCCAAGGGATGTATGGTGAAATAAGATTTGTTGTAAGGTCCTTGGGTAAAATCGAAGGATTCAATATGAAGAAAGATAAATTCGTGAAAGTCAACCATGTCAAGGATTTTCAACACCATTGTCAAAAGTGAACTACTCTACCAACCGGGAGCGTGAATACTTACAAACTTGAAAAAAATAATAAAGAAAAAAGCTAGGTCTACAGTCATTTATTAAGAGTCGCTCTATAAAAATCTTTAAATTATAGGCTTTCTTGGCTTGACACAATGTGAAAAAACATTAACCCTTAGCAAAAATTCCCACTCACCAGCAAAGCGGAGACGCTTTACGATCTCTGTATCATTACACCAACAGACCATATTATTTATACAATATAGCATTCTGAAAGAATCTCAACTTTTTGAGAAGCATACAGTACAAGCTGCCATTTTATAACATACTGAAACGAACAACTACAAAAGAAACAAACGATTAAAAAGAAATTAGATTAGGAATCAGAAAGAGAAAATGATAGAAGACTGAACACAGCTTGAGAAAACCGAAAACAAACTTTACGCACCAAACCTTTTGATGGAATCCACAAGCAAAGAGAAAGAAAATAAGACTAAGAGTACTTAGAGGGGGGATTTGTTTGTTTTGTTTTACGGCTCTTGCAACTGCATAAGGTCATAATATGAGCGCCTAGGAGGGATTTAGATTCGGACTCAAAGAAGATAGGAAACAGCTGAACAGAGGTACACGGACAGCTTTTGCTGGCAGCCTGATGATGATGATGATGATGATGATGATGATGATGATGATGATGATGATGATGATGATGATGATGATGATGATGATAC